TCAGGTATTAATCTTTCTCAGTTTCTTACTATAATAGTGTGAGTTAGTGACGGCCCTTTCTTTGCTTTATAGCATTGAAGTCAATCTCTGCCCAAGTCTCCCATCTCTTCACCACACTGCAGCCACCAGTGGTGGTTCATGTTGATACAAACCCCATTTCAGGCTCCCACTGCTTTCTTTGATCAAAGGAGGTCTGGTGATGCTGTGGCTAACGCATTGCTAATCAAAAAGGTTGGTAGTTTGGAAGAAAAAGAAAGAGGTTGGTAGTTCGAATCCACCAGCCCCTCTGCAGGAGAAACATGAGGCAGTCTGCTTCCATAAAGATTTACAGCCTCAGAAACCTGAAGGGTTACTGTAAGTTGCAATTAACTTGATGGCAGTGGTTTTGTTTTGCTTTTGGCTACCCTAAATACCAAATGTCAAAGATGACAACTTATTAGCCTGTACTCATAGCAACCCCTCTTTGGGTTTCCGAGGCAGTATCTCTACGGAAGTACACTGCCCAACCTTCCTTCTGAGGAGTGGCTGGTGAGTTTGAACCGCCAGCCTTCTGGTTAGCAGTCAAGTGCCTTGGGCACTATCCTACCAGAGCTCCTACTTACTAGACTGTTGTTGTAGTTATGTGCCATCGAGTCAGACCCAACTTACTAGACTAGTCCTAGAAAATTCTAAAGGAGCTCTGGTGGTGTAGTGGTTAAGGCATTTGCCTAACCAAAAGTTCAGTGGTTTGAACCCACCAGCTGCTCTATGGAAAAAAGATGGGGCAGTCTGCTTCTGTAAGGATTTAGAGCATTGAAAACCAAATGGGGGTCACTATGAGTCAGAATCAACTGAATGGGAGAGGTTTTTTTTTTTTTTTTTTGTATAATTACAGAGGGTAATGACACATTAAGGCACAGATAAAAAATTAATCACCCAAATAGCTGAATTTATGCAACCCACATCTCATTTTTCCCCAGCGTCTGCCACATCTCATCTCAATGCCAACCCTCTTCCGTTCCTTTTTTTGACACCTTGGGTCTTGGCAGTGAGACGAGGGAATTGAACCCACCCACCAAATATCCTCCTACTGCCTCCCCCAAACATGCGTGGGATCAGGTGGGTCCATTGTGTTTGAGAGATAGAGCCCAACACACAGCTACACTCGTACAGCCCAGCAGGGCTGTAGGCAGTCTGAGAACTCTTCCATCCAAGGCCCTATGCTACCCTCTCTTCAGAGGCTAGATATGGAGCGTAGGTCAAGTGTCCACCTACATTCTCTACCATTGACCACAGTAGGAAAATTGCCACTGTTGTCTACACCAGCTTCTCCTGCAAATCTAATCCAAGGGAAAACAAAAAGTCATGTGGCCTCATGTTAGGGTATGTAGGGATAACCACCAGTGCACCAAGTTCAAAACACACCCTGGTGGGATCCAATCACCTGTGCTGTGCAGAATGATCCCTTTACTTTATGTAGCTCAGAAAGGTATCAGACAACTTGGGCTGGGTAACAAATGCCATCATGCTCAACGTTTGAAATGAAAGGGCAGAAAGAGTTTTACAGATGCTTTATTTAACAAATGTACGCCAATGTCTCTGCATCTATACACAAACATCTGTTTCCAAACTAGAGCAGACACACAAAACGTTAACATAGGACTTACAATGCTTAAAACATGTTTAGCAATGTTTTCTTTTCTGCTCATTGACATTTCGGGATTCTGAAGTTACCCCAGGGGCCAGACAGCACCGCTTCTTCATTTTCTGGGTTGGCTTATATAGCAGTCGTCCCTTGGTATGTGTGGGGGATTGGTTCTAGAATCCCAGCCACTACCAAGATCTGTGGATACTAAAGTCCCTTGTAGCAAATGGTGTATTTGCATATAACCTGTGCACATCTGTCTGTAGGGCTTAAGTCAGCTCCAGATTACTTGTATCACTTAATACAATGTAAATGCTCTGTAAACAGCACTTCAAGTTCCCTCTTATCCTCTGACGGACTGCTTTGACCACTTAATTGCTTTCCCCATTCCACCGACTATCTTCCATCTGTGCTTGGTTGAATCCTAGGATGGTGGAGTCCATGGGTACAGAGGGCTGACTGCTCATCTTAAAGAAGGAGGGATGGAGCTGTTGAGGGTTAACATGTTGTATTTAGTTCAGCAAACACTTGGCCCATAATGGGCCCATAAGTGTCTTGGAGTGGGGGTAAAATGTCATCTATTATATTTTGGAGTCATTGTTTCTGAATTTATTTGCCTATATACCAGAAACATAAATTTGTCTCATTTCTGGTCCCTCAAAAAGCAAAAAAGCCTACTTTAAAAAGTATGTTAGAATAATTTTATTAACAGCTACTGTGGTGTGTGGAGGTCCTTCAAAATCAAGAGTACACAAATACTCAACACAATTCTGACCCTACTCCCTCCAACTGTTTAAAATGTTCATTTCATGACCTTGACCTAGGTATTAACATGGTATTATCCAAAGCGCTTCAGAGAGGGAAGGCACACACTTTTTGTTTTCCCATTTATGACTCCCAGAAACTCTTGTAATTCCTTAAAAAGGACTACAGTTCTGAGACTCCCCCAAAAGATTTGCTATTATTTTTCTACTTAAGAACGTCAGCTCCATACAAGTATACAAGTTGTGTTTGAGTTAATACTTGAGAAATAGTTGATGCTGCCAAGGGGACGCTCACCATTCTAACCTGACTCACGGCCAATCTGCAGACTAGTCTTTCAGGAAAGATGCTGCCAAGGGGTGAGGTAGAAAAAATAAAAAGTCAGTCACAGCCTCTAGTCGTCTTCTCCTCTCTCCCTCTGCACATCTTGGAATTCTTTCCTGCCAGAGGGGTATAAATTTTTATGTGTAAAGACTTCAGAATGCTCTCTGCTTTGTAGTGAAGTGGAACACAGGGTCCCTTTCTCAAAAAGCACCAACTGAAAATGCACAAAGACTCAACACTGTAATGAACTGACCCCCAGGGGACCTACTCTCCCCGTTTGTGTAAATCATTGGGTCCATTCCTTACTGTGCTTCCATTTTCTACAAATAAGATCAGACTATTATAAAAATGTACTTCCAAAATAAATTATTTCTAGGATATAAAAAAGTTGTACATTTTCTAGCCCACACCATTATAAAATAGGAAATCAGAAAATTAGCTACTGTAATTTTCATATGGTAAAAAATATCTTATGCGTACACACACACAGAGCAATACAGTATATTTTAAATTTCAATAAAAATAGCCAGCTAATCAACTTAATGATCATGTATTGAATTATACATGAGAAATGCTGATTATCTATAATGAGGACCAACTACAAAGGATTACACCTGTCAGAGGATTATTTAAGACTTTCCCACATGGGGAAAAAATTAGGAAGTCTCCAATTGAATACCCAAGACGAAAATCTCACTGGTGTAGTCTCTAGATTCACCAGTCCCCAGGCTTGCTCACTGCACCGAGAAATCCCTCAAGGAAGACAGTACCTGAAGGAGGCAGGCAGGAACTGTGGCTGCTTTGTGGGTGTGTCTTTTGTATTCTGCAGGAAGGTGCCCTGTTAAATGGGCAGGCGAGGACTAAGAACCAGCCTACTAAGGACCAGCTGGAGCTGCTTTTGTCAAACCATCCGCCCAAGAGGTGGCAAGGTTCCAGAGGGTGGGCTTTTCTGCTTACACAAAGGTGCTGGATACAGGTTGGGACCAGTCCTGACATCAGCTGGAGGAGAGGAGGTGGGAAGAAGTGTTCCCAGAGGTGCTTCCTGAAAAGCTGAGCAACGATGAAGCTGAACAGATTGTTGCAATGAAAACCACGGTGGTGTCTCTAGAACCTCACCAAAGATGGTGGAATGTTCCAATGTTATGGATTCCTGCCCCCAAAGGCACAAAAGGAAAGGGACAGGTGCTGAGCAGGGAAGCTGTCCTATTCCACAGGGAGCACTGTTCCCATGGTTGGTGATGGCAGATACTAGGATATGGCCTGGGGGAGCAGTGTCCATGATCCAAAAGTGACCAAAGACAATGTGCAGCACACCAGAGGGCTCCGGAAGAAAAAGTCCCCGCCCCCCATGAAAAGAAAATGCCACACTGAGCTCCACAATTTCCCTACATCCTACCTTGGGTGGTCTTCCCAAATGTTACCTATGGTGCACAGAAGCCTGTCTGGCCACTTATGTTTGTGGGCGCAATAAGAGCAAAGAAAGTAGGCTCATTAGATCTATCCCCTTGTCATTATTTTTTCCCCAAAAGGCACAATCCTTCCTCTATTATCATAAATTAAGATACATAAAATGAAAGTAAAAGCTAAATGCTCAAAAAGGGTTTCTTTCTCCCCTTAACGCCTGCTGTTGAATTAGGGAATTCGGGCATAGCCTTGGAACCACCTCTTTACAAAGGCACCACTCTGTGCAATAGAGAACTCTTGAGTTTTACAGAACAGGAGAGGGATTGGAAAGAATGGTCATTTTTTTTCTATCACCAAATTTAAGATTAAAAAAATAAAAAATGTGATTTCCATCACGTACCAAATACTCAGGAGATGCGTTAAAGCAGAAACAGGGTGGATGTGGACACACAGAGGTTTAATTCTTCAGTAGCATTCTGTTATATTAAGAGCATGAGTAAAGCTCTAAACGTGCCCTCTCCATGGACTATGAACGAGCTGTATCTACTCAGAAAAAGGGGTGCTAGACAGGTGTCTCAAGTCTCATTGAAAATCTACTCAAAGTTTCACATGCTCTCTTTAAAAAAAAAACAAAAAACAAAAAACGCATGTACATACATTTGTGCGTACAATTGCAGGGATTTAAACACTTTCCAAGGCCCAGTCACACATCTCAGCTTAAGACCCCTGGCTCACAACATTTCTGCGGGAGATCTGAAGAATGAACAATCCTTCTATCCCTATGGTCTGTATTTCTCCTACTGAGTTGGGAGAGAGGAAAGAGTCGAACCGGCATAAACTGAAAGCAAGGAAAACCATTTGCTTCAAAAACCAATTTTTTTACTTATTATTTGCCCTTGGAAGAAAGAACATCCCAATCTCTAGTTGCTTCTATCAAGTGCCGTTGGCCATGACTCATCCATTCTTCCTGGTCTTCATACAGCCGCCCACAAAACCAGCACTTAAATATACACTGCGATGAGTCATCGGGCAAGGAGTCCACCACCTGGTAGTTGTTCTTATGCACTTTCTTAAGTTTCATTTTCAACATCATTTGCCTTTTTATCTGATTGGCTTCCTCTGCGTTCTGGTAGGTGAGCCGCACTTGATGCCGCCTGATGCCGAGCTGGCACCTGGTCCTCTCGGATAAGACGACTTTGAGGACATTGCCTTTGTACTTGTTTATCACCTTCATCACATTGGTCACTTCTGGTGAGTCCACATCAGGATGGTTCAAGACAATGACTGGCTGGTTCCGGCGGGGGCATTTAATCAGCTGGTCTGGTTTAGCTGCTATGAGTCGAAGTTGTCTCGCAACCTGAAAAATGGACGGATCCTTGAAATAGTGGCTGGGATCAGCCTGGATTTTGTTTTTCTTCTTGGAGGAGTTGACATGTTTGGTTTTATTTCGATTTATGGCAAGATTTCTTGAGAGCAGCTTCCCTTGTTTATTCCACTCACTGCCTCCTTGCTGTCCATGCAGGGGGGCAGTTTTTCTGGGGGTGATGCTATACAGAGCACTCTCTCTCTTTGGCTTAGGCCAAGGAGATGTCTCCAGCAGGTTTTGGGACATATCTATTGGCCCACTTTCGTTTGTTGCTACCTCTAAGTTTGAGTCAGTCTGTTTCACAGGGCAGAGTGGAACGGGTTTTAACAACTGTGTTTCAGTGCAAGGTATGCTGACAGGTGCTTCACACGTAGCCTCTATGATGTGAGTATCTTCAGAGGAGTTAAGAACCCTCAACACGGCCCCTTTGGGGATCAACACTGGAGCAGAGACATGACCCTTCCTGGGCATTTTGCTTTCAGTCCTTCCATCATTGCCATCTACAAACGGTGGGTATACATGCTCACGAATCAGCTGTCCACCAACACTACTGTAATCCTGAGATTTCTGGAGCAAACTTGTGGGATAGCCTGGGCTAGGAAACGACACATTAATTTCTTGGATACCTTCAGAGGTTGCCTTCGAAGTTACCTTTGACGCCTGCCCTACAGAACGACGATGTATGTTATTTGCAGTCAATGATGAAGGCTTGCCACAGGACTCAATTAACTGAGCTATCTTTCTGCGAAACAGTTCAATTGACTTTATTTTGGAGGCTGAACTATTCCATTTGATGCCTTCAGGGACGTTTTCAGATCCAGAGCTCAGAGAAAACACTGATGAGATGACAGGACCATCAAAATAGTCATTCCTTTCAGGAGTCTTTAATTCCAAAGGCTTGTCCATAGGTTGTTGAGATCTGATTCTATTGTCTCCACTTAAGTTTATGTGTAAATATTCACTTTTATGTTGAGAGGGAACCTGGCCTATATTTGAAATGGCCTCTGTCTGGTTGTCATTCAGTTTCCTATTAGAGGAAACCATTTTTAAAGGAATACTGATCTCACGTCTAGATTCCCAGTCATTTTCACTGACGGGCAATAAACCATTTTCTCCACAGAAGGAAATGGCTGCAGGTGGAGCAGCAAGAGGGAACAAAGGTTGTGAGTCACTGTGTAAACTCCGTGCATCTTCAGGAAAAGACATTGCAGCCTTATACGGAAAAGGGTTTGATGCCATTCCAAGCCCACATAAAACACTGGCTTTTCCTACAGATGATGCAGAACGACCTTCTAAGGCAAAAGAAGGGGGTGGTGCAGTAGCTCTGTATGGATACAAATGATTTTTTTTCTGCAAATCCTCAACTCTATCAGAGCTTAGAAAGGACTCTCCCTGGTTGTGCCCACTAGGATTGGACATGAAGAAATCGTAAGGCTTCCCCCATTTCATGTTGTTCAGCTGTGTGTGCACTGAAGACTGCATATCATCAAGGCCTGTGCGTTTTCCAACATTCGTCTCAAACATCAGTGACTTTGTTTCTTCTGAAGACACAGTTTTCTCGTGCTCACTTGAAACCTCCTTTGTTACGAGCTCAAAATTGCCTCCATTGCCCCTACCAGCCTCACGGCAATTATTTTCTTCCAGAGGAAGCAGTTTCAGAACAAGCTGCTGCGTTCCATTGACAACCTTCACATCTATCAGCTGAGCCAAACAGTTTGCGGGCACAACGAGCTCTGCGGGTGCGACAACTGTTAAAGGCATGCCTGGCTGCACGGGCTCTTTTGCAGGGGATAACACTTCTACCTCAACATTTTTATTCTCAAACAGACTGATGTCATTTGGCTCAGACGGGGTCATTTTATTTGGGATGCACACGACATCTTTTTGGTACTCCTTTGATTCTGGTATCAATGTGATATTGTGCATTTTGTCTTTATTTGTGTGGGGGGAGAACCTAGAAAGCTGGTCTGACAGTCTATTTTGAAATGTAGTCCTCAGATTGGTTGCTTTCGAAAGCTCTGGGTTTTGTTTGGATGTGCTTATGCTGGTTCTTTTTGGCTCCAACTTGGCAACGGTTTTGGGTGACCGTTTCCCACCGGGCTTCTCATGCACCCTCTTCCTGTGTTTGACGATGTAATCGTTTCTAATGGCACCATAGTCACAATATTCACACTGATAGGGAAAGATGCCTGTGTGTTTCACCAAGTGCCTCTGAAACTCCCCCTTTGTGTAGGAAATGCAGCTGCAGTGAGAGCAGATGAATTTGATCTCTTCATGTTGAAGGGTGTGCTTTCTGTACTGCAGGGGGTCCTTGGTGGAAAACCGGCATTTATCACAATAGTATTTGCCTGGCTTAAAGTTCCTTACCTTGAACTTGTTATTGATAGGGTTGGAGAAGACTTCAGCTTGATTTCCCATGTGAGCGGCACTGCCGTTATTGTGCACAAAATGAAAACGTGGAGGAGGCACACCGAGGCTGCATGTGAAACAGACGTATTTGTCTTCTTTTGGGCTTTGCCCAGTGCTCTTTAAGTCTTGAAAAGGGACTCTGTGAACAACTTTGCATTTTATACATGTAGCAATAGTCATCATGGCAGCCTCTGTCTCTGAGCGTTGGTACAAGAGGGCTTGGGCTTGTCTCTCTGGTCTAGTTACTCTACTGGCGTCAGGCTGCTTCGGTGACATGGTCAAGGAGTTATGTCTGTCACTCACTTGAGAAGTATATATTTGCTGTCCAATATCCTTCATTTTCTTTATCTGCATTTCTAGAAAGACTCCATGGAAATTCAGAAAGACTTCACGTGATAAAGTTCTTAGGCGGCATCCTTCAACATATTAGCAGCTGCTATGTGGGAGCATACTCAATCATCTTTTTTTTATACCCAGCCACAGTACATGTATGATCCCAACACACGACTGTTTCTGATTCTCTGATATTCCAGGCAACACTAAAGGAAAAGAAAAAAATTATAAAGAATGGTTAGCATAGGGACTTAAGGTTTAGTGACACTATTTTTAAACTTCTCTGTATTTTAATGGCCTTGAGAATTTTACGCTAAATTTCAACAAGTTATCTAAGATGAATGTTGATAGTAACATGCAACATAGCAGAGCTGGCAAATAACATGTTTTCAAATTCAGGACCCTAAAAATCACTGCTTTAGATGAACCGTGAACACAGACATGCCAGAAGCCAGGGTGTCACAGAGATGGCTTGGAGTAGCCTTTGCTCAGGAAGTTATTTTGTGGTGCTGGATAAGGGCACAGTAATCTCACTAAACTTTGTATGGGAAACACCATCATCTGAGGTTTAGAACATGTTTGTTATGAACAACACATACAGCCTGGTTTGTTTGTTCCTACATTAGAGCTTATGATCAGCTTGGATACCAACTGTCTTGCTTTTCACGTGGCTAAAGCCAGTGATACCGGCAACATTAGGTGGGCAGTCACTTATTCCTTGCACATCTCACTGCATATCTACCACATGTCAGGCACTATTCTAAGTGCCAGAGAGAAGTAAATGAAAGGAAAGCTGTGCATACCCTTGTGAGGAGTATACCGCAAAGGGGGTGGGGGGACAGGACATTCATTTATTTGCCAGAAGGTGGTAAGTTAATTGGGGGAAAAAAATAGCACAAAGCCAGGTGAGGGGGTAAGTGAGTGCCTATGTGAGGAGGTGAGGAAATGGCCCCACAGTAAGTGCCCTCTTTGCAGAGATCTGAGGGCAGCGAGGGAGAGAGCAAGGTGATTGTCTGGGAAAACGGTGTTTGAAGCACAGAGAAACAAGGGTGTTGTGGGAAGTGGGCCTGCAGTGCCTGAGAAATGGCTAGCAGGCCGTGAGGCTGGGGGACAGGGTGTACGGCCACAGAGAGCTGAAGTCCAAAGTGGAAGGAACTAGAACACAGCAGTGTAAGGGTGGGCATCTTCTCCTATTTGAGATGAGAAGCCCAGGCGACAATAGAGCAGCGGCCTGATTTTAATTCCAACCAGCCTCTAGCCCTGTGAAGAGAAGAGTCTGTTTGGGGCATGATGGTACAGCAGGGGACCAAGGTGGGAGAAGATGATGGCTCCCGACAGGTTAGCCTATGTGATGTACCAATGTGATGAACAGCAAGTGCATTCCAATAGTCACACAGATTGTGTGTCCAACAGTCAAGGATTTGTATATGAAAGCAACAGTTCAATGCCTTAAAGACCATCCCCACCCTCAGAATACATAGAACCAGAAGCCAAAGGACAATTATTCCCAGTTTGAGATCTGCCTTTGCTTTTACAATCTTGAGAAAAGCCCTTACACGCTGGCAATCCAAATCAAGGGCACTTGCCCACTCTCTCCCGCAGGCCTGCTCTGAGGACTAAAACGAGAGAGGGCAGAAGAAAACACTTTTGTCAGTTTAAAGTGCTTCTCCAGGTGTGAGGAGGTCCAGGAGGTGCTCTGGGTTTGTTCGGTGACAGGCAGCAGCACGAGGGGGAAGGAGCAGCAGCTTCCCTGGCACGCTGCTAGCAGGCCAGGCGCCACCCAAAGTCAGATGGAGGGATCCACGCTGGGAGCAGAACTCTCTCTCATTAGGGTCAGGAGAAACTACTATATATTCACTTCTAGCCTGACAGAAAACCTTCCCTTAAGAAGCAGCTCTGGAAAGTACCAGAAAACCAAAACACCAATCCCACTACCATCAAGTCGACTCATAGTGACCCACAAAGACCCCCACTGGGTTTCTGAGGCAGTAAATCTCCACAGAAGTAGATTGCTCTGTCTTCCTTCTGCAAAGTGGCTGGTGGGTTTGAACCACCAGCCTTCTGGTTAGCAGTCAAATGCCTTAGGCATTGCACCACCAGAGCACCTTGGAAAGTACCAGAAGAACACATCATATCTGATGATAAATCCACTCCCATCAAGTTGATTCCAAGTCATAGCGACGTCCACTGAGTTTCCAAGGCTGTAAATCTTTAGGAAGTAGATTGCCTCATCTTCCTCCCACAAAGCAGCTGATGGGTATGAATCCCTGACTTTCTGGTTAGAAAAGTACCTTATATTTGATAGTAGGCATTAGTAATTTTGGGGGGTGAGGTGGGTAGCAGGGTTGCTTTTTCTTGTTTCCTATTTGTAAAATATAGTCGTCTCCTTCAAAAGCCACTTCCAGCATGCAAGCCAGCCCTGACGGCACCTTGCCTTGTCATGAGACTTGCCTACCATGAGCGTGTGCAGAATAACTTCAACTAGGAAGAGGTTCCAAGGTGCTGCATATTCCCTCAAACACCTATGCAAGGACACTGTGATTATGGAGAGGACACAGGCAGGACGCCTCAAACTGGAACACAGGGCAGTGGGGCCAAGACAAGGCTGCTCCTTTTTCAGTGCACTCCTGGGAGACATGAGAGGTGGGACTTTCCGATGCCATCAATGGAAGAAGGGCCGCTTTATCTTCCAGGTCTGTCGAACGGCTTCAGTGAGGGGACGCACGAGAGGCACCCAGGAGAACCTCTGCTGCTCAGTGAGCCACCCCACTTCCTCAGCGTCCTCGTCTCAACAGTGAGGGGCTGGATCAGATGATCTCTAAGCTCAGCCTGACACTGTGATCTTTAAGATCAGACTGGCACCCTAGGTCTAAGAATGCCACTGTCATCAACATGTCCATGTCAGCCGGTTTAAGCTGTGAGAAGCTAAAACAGAAGGCAGAGCTGCAACCAGAAGCCAGGAAAAACACAAGCCCAAAGAATACGGAGGCTGAAGATTAAGGGCATCCGGTCTACTGGTTCTCAAATCCAGAGGAAACTTGGCCTGACTTCTCCAATACACATTCCTGGGCTTCATCCCAAGCTACTGAATCCATGTCTCTCTCAGAGGCGTTTGGTTTGTAAAAGATTTCAGGTAATTTTGATGAAGTCAGTATCAGAAGTCACTGCTTGAAGCTTCCAGAGGTGTTTAAGTCCACAAAACATCTTTGTCAACAGATCGGGCCACACATGCTCTACCTATTGACACAAACAAAAAATGCCTTCCTTTTAGGCGGCTCATTTGATTGTCTCACAGCCATCACTGGAAAGAATTTACCCTTAAATGAAACCGGCCTCCCTGTATCACCTTCTAGCCTGGCTCTGGAATGGGGGGGGGTGGGGACGACTCATAAAGCCAAACACTTAATCCCTCTTGACTGACCAGTTATTAATCTGCATATCTCTTCTCTCATCCAGGCCTCAGATCTGAATTAAAGAGATTTGCAAAAGGATTACCCCAGCCGTGTGAAGCCCTCTGCTCATCTTCCAGCTTCATAATCCTCCTAACTGGGAGGGAGGGCGGGAAGGAGGACTGACTTGAGTGGCTTTCTACTTGCCTGGCACAGCTTGCTTCCAAGAGCTTCAACATCACACTTCGTACGTTACCCTAGGAAACTGTACAATAAAGCATGTGAAGCGATTCCTCTATTTTAAGAATCACCCAAGTCAGGATTCCGTTTGCACATGCTCAGTTCTCCAGCACCTTCCCAGACTCTTCAACAATCAGAGGGCCATTCTGCCATTGTCTTCCCAAGAACTTGAAAACTCGGAGGGTGTCATTCTTTCCCCGCTGAAGACCTCACACCTAGGAGGGCCTGGACAACTGTGTGTTCAGTCTGCAACAGCGGGGTCTGTTCTGGGAATGAGAGGTGGCGAGCAAGCACTCCGATGGAGGAAATTCCCCAGAGAACCAATTCAACTAGGAGGCCATGAGGGGCGTGGAGCCCTCCTGGATATGCATCCCCAAAACTCTCTCAAGAGTTATTCTTAATTAAGATTCCACAGGGACAGGTGCGTGAGTATTTGCTTCATCAGCAAATATAGTTAAACAGAGAAAGCAGTGTATATGGGTCATGATCAAACCATGTCACCTGCTTGAAAGCATCTTCTTGGCTTTTAAGCCATTCTCAAATGCAGTGTTGCTTCAGTGGCACTTCTTAGTCCAGATGAAAAGATGTCAGGCTTCTTTGGGATAAGCAGATGGAGTTCTCTTTGGCCACTGCAACTTGTGTGGTTAGTCATGGGAGGAAGAATAGTCTACCATGATACCCAACACAGAGGGAAACTGAGGCAGGAGCAGAGAAGAATGACGATGGATGGGTTTGGCATTGACATTCACACATGGGTACCCGGAGGCTGCAGCAGGCACAATGAAGCCATGGGCTTCCAAGCCCCTCTTCAGTCCATATACAGCTTCCTCCACCTGGCTCACATCCAGGTGCAACCATCTGGGAAGCTGGTCCTCCTGGTAAGTCACTGGCTGATGGGCCAGTGATCAAGGGTTACAAAGATACTGTAGATGAAGGGCCATGCATGGCCTTGATGCTGGGCAGAAACTCAGGAAGTCACCATTAATGTTTGGATCAGTGCTCACCTACCCTCCAAACTCAAAAAGCCTCAGTTTTGCGCCTTTGCACTTGACCTCTACCTCTTTCTTCCAGGTAACCTATCAGGGCTCTCAAAAGCACAGAAATTTATTATTAACTTTTTTGCACAGTAAGTGGTCATAGATACAGTCAAGCATTCTTAAACATCTGTGACACGTTCTATGAAATAGTCCGTTACGTGATTTGGACGTTGTGCGAACATGCCTGAATCATGAGCAATAGCATTCCCCGATCTTCCACCCTCATGCTGTTCAGTAACCTTCTGTTTCACTTCCAAATCGGTCCTTGTCCTTTGCCTCTTGCTGCTGCTGTCACTAGAACTGGTTTTGCTGAGTTTGGGAGTCATGATGCACTTGATGGTATTATTTTGGAAAG